TCCCCTTATTTCTAACTCCAGTCTCGGAAGGCTCGTGCCGCCACTGCCCCAGTTTCAGCTTTACCGAATCTGCAGCCAGACTTTGTGACGTGTAGAGATTCCCTGTGTTAATATTTTGAAGAAAACAACAAGATAACTATTGCACTGTTATTTATAACTCAATAATATACATGAAGCACTATTCTACATAATTTCATATACAAACAATGTCATGTTATACAATAATACAATGTCAAAACTAAACAAAATACACAACTAATAACTAAGTATATATCAATTAGATATGTATAATCATTATTATGAACAGGTTAACTATATAAAGAGTAGATATTGCATTATAATACAACTGTAGATGTCTAATATTTGTATGTTTAGAGTTAAATATATTTTTTATAGGTTCCAAAATTCACCGGTAACATTTTCCTTGTTTGCCTTCCATGATTAAATACAGGATAGAATTCTGAGAACAAAGGTTTGAAGAAGGTTTTTTATGTTCCACTGAACAATTTTGTCAATACCTTTCTGATCTTTTTTTTTCAACAAAAAAGGAGTCATATATTGACTTTGCTTTGATTTATTGACCCTTAGTGCATCATGTCTATTGATGGTAACCAAATTCAACATCATTTATTTGAAAGGTGTACCTCTAGTTGGAGTACCTCTAATTGGAGTGCCTCTCATGGGAGTGCTAGGGTTTAACAAATGATATTTCTGAGCTTGATTCATGATAGTAGTCATGGATGATTTAACTTCCTGGGCAGCATAGTCAAGCTGTTCCAACTGAGTATCTGATAGTACTGAAATATCTGAGTCATTGCTATTAGAGGAATCTCTTTTATTACTATCTCTATTAGATGACTGAAGTAGTTTACTTGAACATTTCTGTATCATTTCAGAACATACCATTAATTTCTTCCACTCTTTATTTCCACCTAAAATATGTCACAAATCATAATGATAATGCAAACTGTATTAAAAGGTGATGTACATTGTATCTTACCTTTTTAATGGTAATGTAGATTGTTTTTATATCAAAACATTATCTAACATTTTAACAATGATAATGTACATTGTATCTTACCTTTTAACAATGGTAATATAGATTGTATCAATATTAAAACATTATATTACCTTTTAACAAGGATCTTACCTTTTAATAATGGTAATGTACATTGTATCTTACCTATTAATGACGGTAATGTACAAGATATTAATATCGAAACCTTATCTTATTTTTTAACATTGGTAATGTGCATTGTATGAATATTAAAACATTAACTTACCTTTTAATAATGGTAATGTAGATTGTATTAATATCAGAGCACTATCTGTCATGTTTTGTACTTGATTAACTAGTGTAAAAGATCTACGGTAATTGAGATGGTAGAATTGTAGTGGTTTATTATCTGAACTTTCTCTCATACTGGTATCAACTTCAACCTATAATATACAAAAACTTCATCTTAGGAAAATCAAAAACTAACTATAATAGAACACCTGATGGCACTCTGCAATTGGGATTGTCAGATGAGTCTTCATCTTTTAATACTTGCGAATATTTTAGGGCAGTTTTAAGATGCATGAACTTATGCATGGAAGCCCATCAGTATCTATGGTTAAGAAGAATATCATCTTGAAAATCCCTTATTTATTGTCTAAGAAGATTCCATTGTTTTTATAAGAAATTTACTGCTAATCTAGCAGTGCTAAAGCCCCCTCCCCTATTTTGAAGGAGATGAATGATATAAAACCACCAATGCTGTAGTGATATAACTATTTCTGTTGTGATAATGTAGTCAAAAAATATATCTGAGTACATCAAGATCATCAGAACATTGATAACTATAATTAAATACCTGAATTTCTTGACATTTCTGTAATAATATTTTAACAGCTGTCATGGCTAGTTCTATATTCTGTGTTAAATCTCCTACACTCTGAAAACAATATAACAGATTTCTTTAAACGAATGTTTCATAAAAATATAATCATAAGGAAACTTTTCAAATTTTCTTTTTGATTCCTAATAATAACCTGTGATAACATGTGTAGATTAGCTCTGTAAACTTGGCTTTGTATTAGTGATTCATCAGGACTGATCTCAACAATGGTTGTTAATGTAAATAATGATAATTTTATACCATGAAGGTTTATAGACATGATTGCAAGCAATTTAAAATTTAAATTTAAGTTGATCAAAGATAAAAAATGTAAGAGCATCCTACATGTATAATACCAATAATGCTTACCACATTAGATGTATTTTCATCTGAATAAATCTGAGCCTTCATTTCACAATCTTCTAGTGTTTTTACACCATTTGTTAGTGTTTTATCAACAAACACATCACTACCACTAATAAACGCTTGACAGATATCATGTCCTAACTGAAAATATATTTTATTGGGATTTGAATAACCTAAATGACAAGAGGACAACTTTGCTATATTTATTTCAAACAAAAATTCTTTGTTGTATTGGGTCTCTAAACCTACAATTTTATAACTAGCATTCATCTCATGAATTCATTTACTGAGATGCTGACAACTTGACCAAGGAACATTTAATATTTTTTGATCAACTACAGTAGTAAAAATATCTGTCTTGCTTAAACAGAAAATGAAAATATTGAAACCAACACAGTTGAAATCACTCAAATAATAAGGGATAAGTGTTAGATTTATGAGGGAAAAATGAAGATACCTGATTATTTTGTGTCAGATCTGAAAGTTGTTGTAATTGTATCATTTTATTCTGATTAGCTAGAGATAGTTGTCCACATAGTTTACTTATAGTATATATACTATCTATAGTCTTACTACCAGATTCTTGTATTAAACTACTAATCTCATTCTCATAACCCTAGAAAAATACATAGAAAAATCTTCAATGGACAGATACAATATAGGATACAATATAACTAAAAACCTTAAAAATACATACTAACATTAATGAAAACTAAGAAAGGTTTAACGCCAAGAATAACATCTGTGTATGTATTGCACTGGGCCAAAACTTGAAAATAAAATACCTTTTCTCTCACAAAACAATTAAAAATCAAGATCATAGACATGTGCACCAAATAAAAAAGGTGAAAAAAAATAATTTTGATTGTTGAAAGGGGGCAGCCGAGGAAAGTGTTGTCATGGCTACAAAACTGATGGATGCCATTCAATGTTTCATGTTTTAATTTACATGCTTTGGTACAAATATATCTGATTAGGTTAAAGAAACTGTATGCACTTCTAAGTATCAGTCTAAAATGATGTCAAAGCTTACATAGATATTTTTTTAAACACTAACCTGTAGTAACATTGAAGCATGGTTACCCATGACCTTGACCTGATTTGACATTGAAACGATTAGGTCACGTAATAAGGGAGAGTTTTTGCCCTCTATAATTGATGCCCATACTGTACAGTTGGAAGCCAATAACTGTAAGGTTGAAACTAGTTGTATACAGTATTTTCTTATAACCAAATCATCTTTGGCAGCTAAAATCAAACAATAGAATTAGATGCAAAATTTGGGAAATCATTAAACTGTAATGTCCTCATGAATTTACAAGATAAAAAAAAATGTCCAAATGGAAAGCATAAGATGGATATAAAGAATACAATGCACTGATTGTTAACTGGCATTTGCAGATCTGCTCTTTATTCCAAACATCACTTTGGTTTGAAAGAAGTCTGGTTTTGTTATGATGTTTTTTTTTTCTATTATGTTAGATCTTTCAACGCAGGTCAGAATCTTAGACTACTTTTTGACAACTTCCTGGTGAAGATCACAGACTATTGTACTTTAATTTCTTGTTATTCAGAGACTAATGAAGTTCAGAGAAGAGTTTGAATATACTGATATATTACCTTGACTGTGTTGTACTATAGATGTAACTGTTTGTTTTAATATCTGACAATTCATTAACATTTTATCTCCTATACTCTCTTCAAAATTTATATCTAAAATAATTTACAAGATTGAGTATCAGCATATTGATAATAAATAAAATCATGAATTAAACAGGACATAGTAGAATGAAACAAGTCACAAAATACCAAATACCAAAAAAAAAGTTCTTTAATGACCACTAACAAAAAAACTTCTATTTTCAGATTTTTATATCCTTTGTTTAATAAATATTTTTAAAAAATACTATGCTAGCACTGTTTTCCAAAAGACAAGCTGTGTTGAAACCATCATCTTGACATTTCAGGGTCATACCCATAGTTCTCTGCTTCTCAGGTAACTAGAGTACCTAGTTTTGAATACTCCATAACATCCAAAAACATAATAAAATATATTCCAAAATTGACCACAATCTTGATTGTGCAAAGCAGTGTTCACCTGCTTCTTCTCATTGGTTTCAAGCAGAGTGTTAACAGAGGAGTACAGAGACCAGTTAAAACACCAGTCATGAATACTTACCATTAAATGTTTCCGTTAATGTAGATATCATATCTTTACATACTTTATATACAGATAGATCTATATCAGGTTTAGGTAGACTAAATGATCCAGACACTAAACATTAGAATAGAAAATCATAACATTATTAGGCTGATAATCATTGTATTGAAAAATACTAGAATACTGTTCATAAATTCATGATAATGACTGAAAAAATCTAATGTAAAATATCTTTATACATAATCTGAGAGTTTAGATATATAAATCAGATTTACAAATACAATACCAATTTTTACTAAATAACTTTCTACAAGACGAATGCTAAATTCTTCATCACAGGTCCATCTCTTTTTCAGTACTTTTACTGGTTTTTATCCAATACAAACTAACCACTTTATCTTACCTCTTCTATTAGAGTTATTGTTGTGAAATGAAACTCGTCTTTTACCAGGGGTAGTTAATGGACTCTTCTGATAACCAGTAAACCTGTTATTATCAAAAAATATATAATTCTTAATCACAAATACAATCAGTTATAAAGGCAGAAATGTGGAAATTCAAGATGCAGCTTCATTTCTAAATGTCTGAGGTTTATGATACTTAAACTGGTGAGAGATTAGTAGGTGATAATATAAAACTAAACTTATGGTACTTACACTGGTGAGAGATTAGTAGGTGATGATATAAAACTAAACCTATGATACTTACACTGGTGAGAGATTAGTAGGTGATAATATAAAACTAAACTTATGGTACTTACACTGGTGAGAGATTAGTAGGTGATGATATAAAACTAAACTTATGGTACTTACACTGGTGAGAGATTAGTAGGTGATGATATAAAACTAACCTTATGATACTTACACTGGTGAGAGATTAGTAGGTGATAATATAAAACTAAACTTATGGTACTTACACTGGTGAGAGATTAGTAGGTGATGATATAAAACTAAACTTATGATACTTACACTGGTGAGAGATTAGTAGGTGATAATATAAAACTAAACTTATGGTACTTACACTGGTGAGAGATTAGTAGGTGATGATATAAAACTAAACTTATGGTACTTACACTGGTGAGAGATTAGTAGGTGATAATATAAAACTAAACTTATGGTACTTACACTGGTGAGAGATTAGTAGGTGATAATATAAAACTAAACTTATGGTACTTACACTGGTGAGAGATTAGTAGGTGATGATATAAAACTAAACTTATGGTACTTACACTGGTGAGAGATTAGTAGGTGATGATATAAAACTAAACTTATGGTACTTACACTGGTGAGAGATTAGTAGGTGATAATATAAAACTAAACATTCTCCCAACTATCATCAGGATCATTAAATACTTCTTCTTCATCTTCAGTTGAACTTTCACCATCATTCTATAATAAAAATAACATATATTTCAACATATGGTCAAACAGTTGTTAAAAGTGGCTTGCTCCCAAACCTTGAGATCCAGGATTCAATCCTGACATGATTGAGTTTTTTAGGTAAAACTATCAGATTTATTTTAATAAGGTTTTTACAGAGTAAAAAGAGTAGGTTACTGCCGCTGTTCTGGCAAAATTTCCCTTATTGCACACTGTACTTGTATTTGTATTTCAGTTGACTAGGCATTATAAATGATCACAAATTTGGAAAAGATCAAGACAAGTATGTCAACCAAAACATTCAACTGATTAACAGCAAGAGAACAAACCTGATACAGCTCTCTCATCTGTAAAACTTTAAGTTCTAGTTTTTTAACAGTCCAGAATGTACACATATTATGATTATTATTAGTCACTTTAATAACTGGTTTAACTTCATTATCCTCTATTATATCTTCTCGAGAAAATGTCTGAAAAACAGAATTTCTTAGGATAAACAAAAATGGACATTAACATAGGGAATCGGAAATGACATTTGATGTAAAAGGATTTTTATAGAAATGAATTCCACATAAGGTTTAAAACATGCTTAAAAAGAAAATTAGAATATTACATCAGTAATAGACAGTATTCCAACATTTATATATTTGTAAACATTATTCAGACATACATGCATTAGAAAATATGCTGGTAGATTGAAAGTAAATATTGTGCCTTATTTTTCTGACTCTACACCAGCCCATACAATGAGTAAGAATATCTATTAAAGGTTGGCTAAATTCAGCTGGCACCAGACTTAATTTTCTAATCAGATCTACCTTTTCTGAAATATGAGCCTTACAAAAACTACAAGTATACTCACTACTTTCTTCTTTAAGAATTGACTAATTTTATTAGCCTCCTTAATCAGAAGAGCTGTCTTATATAGATCTCTTTTGATAGAGTTTTTATCTGGTGTTTTGGCCAATCGAAATGGTGATTTAGCTTCAACTCTCTTCAGTTTCAATTCTGCAAGTTTAGCTTCTGCTTTTTTCTTCTCTGATTCCAACAATTGTAATAATGGTGAATCTTTATAACATTTGATTGACTGAAAAAGTAACAAATTAAAATAGATATTAAGACTGTTATAAATCATGCCTTCCATCCTAAAGAAGAGGTTTTGGTCACAATTTTGTTTGTTCTCCAATTTTTGTGCGAAATCTATCATAAATTATTTACCTTATGTTGTGCCTCCGATTCTAGTTGTTGTTTTTTCTTACTTTCTAACATCTCTTGTTCTAATTGCTGAAAATATTAACAGATAATCTATAAGCTTATTATGTACAAAAATCTAGCATGACGACGGTCTGCCTGGGAGAGATTAAAACTATCGGAGACAATTATCAAACTTACTTGATATTATAAATGCTGTCAGCGACGCAATAATCTTGTCTTGAAAGCACGGGCACACGCAAGATTTTACTCAAGATTTGAGTATGACCACTTGTGTGCTCCAACTTTTAATAACATAATTGAAACAGAAATATAACTTTCTCCCTATATATAACTAAATAAACTAAAGAAAAGTCATTAAACTAATCATTAAAACTAACAATAACCCTCTTACCAGCTTTTGTTCTTTTAGTTTATGAACCAAATTTTCAGTGTCTTGTTTAGATTCTTGAGCTTTCTTTGATTCTCTACTTTGTTCTTCCTATCAAATCAATGAAAAAAATCCTTAAAATCACATTGAAATACAGAAGTAGAATATAATAAGTCTTGCCTGACCCAAATGAGCTCACTTACAATATGTATACCATGTCTATTCATGATGTGGACAGTCATTGAAATTTTTCTTTGTAATGGAAATTGAGTATTATTTCTAAATGATGAAAGTATACTTACTAAGGCCTTTTCTAAATCAGCTAATTTATCTTCAAAATTAGACTGTTGTGATTTTAATTCTTCTGCTTCTGCACGAGCTTCATCTAATTCAGCTTGTAACCTTTAAAAAAAACATGAAAAATTCATTCAAATGAAATGAGTTTTACATCCTAAAATTCATTCAACATCCTTAATTATAACCTACTGATGACAATCATTTGGCTTGAATGGTTTTCATCACAGTCATTTTTGGTAAGAATTACAGGAATCACAGACATCAGAATCAGAACGGTGTAAAAGAAGGTATAATAGACATTCTAATCCCCTCTTAACACTAGTAATATTTGGATTTGTGTTTTCTTACAAATCACCATAGACCAGACATCAGTTTATCCCTGTGTTAAAGCCTTACTTTGTCATTCATATTTCTAAGAATGGACCAGCAATACAATGCCAACACAATATCCAAGAAATTCACAAAAAAACGATGAACAACTTTGATCTTTTGATTGCTGAGATAAAATTACCTGGCCTCTTGGGCATCTATCAGCTCTTTCCTTGCAAACTCAAAATCTTTGATAGCTGTTTGTCCTTTAGTTTTATTACCAGCATTCCTTTTGACTTCTATAGGGTGGTTGAATCTAAAAACAGAGTTTTTTTTTATGTATTAATGCATGCACCTTTTTTTGTCTTGTATACAGTTCTGCAGTCTACAATCCTTTGAGAAATGATTCCTTTAACAAAATTCTCACACAATTCAGTGTAAATCTACTTAAAGTAGTTTTATCAATATCAAGTATTTCTAGATTAAAATTAATTGTGTTATTTTAACTAATCTAAGATACTGATTTCTAGATCAAAACTAATGGTGTTATTTCAACTAATGGACTTCCTTTTTAATCACCATCTGTGATTTACAAATCCACAATTTTGGATTATATTCTCAACATCAGCTTATTAGACTCCAACAGAAAAGAAATATAGAATTTGATTGAATTAAACATTGCCAAGTTGGCAGATTAATATTTCATGATAGTTTGTAAGGTAAGTATATAAATAGGTTCCTACCTGAAATAGTGATCCCCTCCTAGCACTAAACGATCAGCCTGAAAAAAATACAACATCAGTGGCACATTATACAAAATATCAATACTCATTTACAGATAACAAATAGTAAATATGATTGGTGAAACTAAAAGATTTTTTGTACACATATGCATATGAATAAATTTTCTTTGGACCCCCTTTATATCATACTGATGACAATTTTTAAAACTTACATGATGAAGTATAGAGGGTTCTGTTATCATTTCACCATTTAGATAGGTTGGAGCATCACCTATTGGTGTTATACTGACTACACTATCAACATTATTTATAATACTGAAATATAAACAGATACTGACTACACTATCAACATTGTTTATAATACTGAAATATAAACAGATACTGACTACACTATCAACATTGTTTATAATACTGAAATATAAACAGATATTGACTACACTATCAACATTATTTATTATTCTGAAATATAAACAGATACTGACTACACTATCAACATTGTTTATAATACTGAAATATAAACAGATACTGACTACACTATCAACATTGTTTATAATACTGAAATATAAACAGATATTGACTACACTATCAACATTGTTTATTATACTGAAATAACAGATACTGACTACACTATCAACATTGTTTATTATACTGAAATAACAGATACTAACTACACAATCAACATTGTTTATTATACTGAAATATAAACAGATACTGACTACACTATCAACATTGTTTATAATACTGAAATATAAACAGATACTGACTACACTATCAACATTGTTTATAATACTGAAATATAAACAGATACTGACTACACTATCAACATTGTTTATTATACTGAAATAACAGATACTGACTACACTATCAACATTGTTTATAATACTGAAATATAAACAGATACTGACTACACTATCAACATTGTTTATTATACTGAAATATAAACAGATACTGACTACACTATCAACACTGTTTATTATACTGAAATATAAACAGATACTGACTACACTATCAACATTGTTTATAATACTGAAATAACAGATACTGACTACACTATCAACATTGTTTATAATACTGAAATAACAGATACTGACTACACTATCAACATTGTTTATAATAATGAAATATAAACAGATACTGACTACACTATCAAGATTGTTTATTATTCTGAAATATAAACAGATACTGACTACACTATCAACATTGTTTATAATGCTGAAATATAAACAGATACTGACTACACTATCAACATTGTTTATAATACTGAAATATAAACAGATATTGACTACACTATCAACATTGTTTATTATACTGAAATAACAGATACTGACTACACTATCAACATTGTTTATTATACTGAAATAACAGATACTGACTACACTATCAACATTGTTTATAATACTGAAATATAAACAGATATTGACTACACTATCAACATTGTTTTATTATACTGAAATAACAGATACTGACTACACTATCAACATTGTTTATAATACTGAAATATAAACAGATACTGACTACACTATCAACCTTGTTTATTATACTGAAATAACAGATACTAACTACACAATCAACATTGTTTATTATACTGAAATAACAGATACTGACTACACTATCAACATTGTTTATAATACTGAAATAATATTACAGATACTGACTACACTATCAACATTGTTTATTATACTGAAATATAAACAGATACTGACTACACTATCAACATTGTTTATAATACTGAAATATATATTACAGATACTGACTACACTATCAACATTGTTTATTATACTGAAATACAGATAATATCAAATTGTACATACCAATGATTATCTGCTATAAGAGCACCATTTAACTGTATATCATGGTGAGAGGTTGGACTCATTCTACCAACTTTAGTCTGTCCTTCTTTAATAACATATAACAATAACTCAGCTAACTGGGGATCTTCATTTAAATTAACTAAATTAGGTAGTTGATTGTCTACTTTCACAGCTATTCCAGATTTCTAAATTCAATATATATATACAAGACAATGTACAGTTTTGAGAAATTTTCATTTTTAAATGAACTCTAGCATAAATCGATTGGTTATTTAGTTAGAAATGGCTCATACCAATAATAAACCATGTTGAGCAATATACATCAACAAGACATTGAAGACAAAGAGTTTTACCTCTAACAGTTTAGCTTCTTCTGCTTTTCTCCTCTCAGACCTCTCTAGCTTCTCCTGCCAAGATCTACAAATAAAACAAATATACATACATAGCAAAGTACAGGTATTCATTGTTCATAGTTGGATTTCACCTAGTCCTCGAACAAGCCTCATGATAAGTGTAATTTGGTGAATTCATCTAGCGATGGTTATAAAATAACAAGAACTTTCAAGAACAGTGACACTTGATTTACTTTCTGATTCAATACAATTGTTACCTAACAGTAAAGTTGTTACTTCAAGCAACTGAACTAAAAGGTAAAAGTTGAGAGTACCTTGTAATATCACCAAGTTCTCTCTCTTTCTCTGATAATTTATCTTTTAATGCTTGTATTTCTTCTAAACTATCATCTTCCTGTAAACCATCAATAGATGGTCCTGTATCTTTCTTTAATTTCTCTATTTCAGCTCTCAATTCTATAAAATATCAACATATCAAATTCACACCAAACAGTAGACCAAAGTCCACACAGTACTGGTAAATTTCTTAATATCTTTCTTAATAACATTGCTTAGTGACATAAAATATTACAAAAATTTAACTATCAATTAAACATGACTTACCTCTAATTAACTTAGATTTAGGATCTTCATTTACTCGTACAACATTCACTATAGATCTAGCTTGTTTAGCATATGTTATATATGTTAAGGAAATTCTATTTCTAGGCTTCTAACTTCCTTTTTGCGCTTCTTTCAAAATTTCACTCTCTCAAATTTTATTCTATCCAATTGTAATTTGTGATTATGACTTAATAATATCACAAGATGAGCTCTTCCACATGTGAAGATTATTATTTGAATATGTGACAATACAGAAAGTCTATAATAAAAGGATATCTAAGAGTACTAAGTGTTTCCTCTACATGATGATTAGCAGGACTAATAGTAGCTATCATAGCTGTTTTAGAATTACCTCCTAAACTTTCTTTTAATAACCTGAAATAAACACAAACTTAGTTAATTAATATATTATGAAATGGAATATTTTGTTCTTTTTTCCCACTCCTGATAGTTCAACATCATTTAGAGAAAGTGGCATGTGTCTTTATTTTTTTCCAATGGTTTCACACATCTGGTAGCACAGATCACCCATCCATATGACTACACACTCTGACTTAGGTCATAAACAGAGGTCAACCTATGATGGGATCAAAACCCTGGAACTTTAACTATTTCTTCACAAGCAAATTCTTAATCTGTTGTTTGTAATATGTAATATTATGAATTTCAAATTATAATGTAATATCAATTACATTTAACAAATGATGGACAAAAACACAGTAATTAGAATGTTTAATTTTGTGTGACAATATCTTCTACAAGTTTGATCTTAAAAAATTCAGGTTATACTTACCAAGTCAAAACAGAATCTCTATATGGTATAAAGATTTTACGTTTTTTATTAGTAACTGACTGTTCTGATAGTAACGATATGACTTTACCTAGAGCCATTAATGATTTATTGATATTAGCTCCTTCCTGTAATAATAACATAAATATCACTACCGTAAAATACCTACATCTAAAATCTATTTCAAATAAGTGAGATAAAATATCTATGTCATATAAAATATTCAGCAAACAACTGAGTTCTTTTTTTAAGTTCACTGAAGCCAATTTTTTTCATATACCTTTCAAACATTAGCTTTAAAAAAGATACAAAAGAGGTTTGTACAATGGTTCCTACAATTCCAGATAAACTAGATTTTGACATGAATATTTCAAAAGCTTTTGGCCTGCACAGTATATGCAATAAAAACTAAGTATATAATTACCCTGAGTCTTTCTCCTGTAGTTTGAGCTTGTGATTGTCTCTCACTACCAGCTAAATCAACCAGATTTATTTTACTGTTAGTACAATGTTCATGATCTGTTCCTTCTATTCTCTCTGTCTATAATAGGAAATAAGTATTGATTAATATAAGCAGATTGTCTTCAGATCCTATACATATCATTTGTTTTTTTAATATGAAAATTAATAACAATCAATATTAAATTTGAAATACACCTTAGCTTTCTTATTGTTTATTAATGAAGAACTTTCCAGAATATATGATTTGCCTACTCTTTTTTACCAATTAATATTGGTAATGGCAAGTGCACCATCAGAGACAACAGTATTTCCCCACTCGTGCTTTTTGATTTTTTTTCATAGAAGTTTGCCTTGCACAGCATCGAGGAAAAATCAAGCTGATGTATTGATAATTAAAGAAATAGTAATAGTACCATATAAAAGATATTCATACCTTAGACTGTGTGAGTACTATAGTAAATACAGAATGTGATCTACTAGATTTATCATTCATACCAGTACAAGCTGTAGCTCTATTCTTATTACCTAGAGTTATCCACCCCTGTAAAAAAAAAAGGTACATAATAGTTCCACCGATACCCAACTGCATACAACTTTTTGTTCTTATTAAACAGACACATAGCATCCTCTCACAATTTTCTTCGGTTCCATTCATTTAAAGAATTATCCACATTCACCTAATTTTGCAGACATTACCAATCCAGTTAGAAACCATAAATTCAATCGCAACCCTTTTTTTAAGTTTTCTAATTTTAAATATTTTTTCTTCTATCATTTGAAATTGAAGGTCACAGAAATATAAAATAACAAATATATTTACCTCTACATCTTCAAATGAATTAACAACATAAGTTGATAAACCTTCTACATAGGGACCTAATACAGGGTGTTCTCGTACTTTCAGCTAGAAAACAAAATACAAATATTTTATGATGTGAAAAAAAGTGTGTTTATCAAATTGTTCTTTAAAAATTAGAAGTTCCTGATTTCTACAGACAGTCAAGAACTCTTGATATCAAGCATTCAAAAACAATTTTCCTCATAGCATACTGCAGAGAAATGATTGTATTGATTAGCCCAAATAACACCAGAAATGCAGGATTTAAAAGCACATTTCATGTTTATCCTAGAATGATATTAAAAATGTCATTACTTGAATGTATCTGACATCACATATTTAATCAATTTTGAGATATGTAGAAGAAACACTTACTGAGGGTTTCTTGGCTGACTTCTCTTTAACTGAAGCTAGTAAATCATGGATCTTTTCGTTGTAGATTTCAAAAAAACTTATCTCTACATTAATTTTTACCTGAAATTAAGAACATATTTATATTGGGATGAAAGCAACAGCCATTGATTACAAAGATAACAATATAGGTTCTCAAGGATCCTTTCTTTCAATTGATCCTTGATCAAATCTCTTAGCATTGATCTTTCCCAGAATATCTGTATTTACAGCTGGGTTGACTGGAAAGATGAAATTCAAGTTCATCAGTTATTAGACTTTTACACGTGGACCAAGATTAGAACCAAATGAAATCACCTAAAGTTTACAACATTCTGACTCTGAAACAGAATCCTTCAAAACCTTTACAGATTGAGATAAATATCCTACAGAACAAAAGAGATTTCATGAACTATAACAGTTATAATTTCCTTACCATTTCTTTACTCTTCAGAAGTTCAACTCTGGAAAACAGTTCTTCACAGAATCTTGGAATGATTCCTGTTTCTTCGCCATGTCCCATTATACTGGAATAAAAGAACATTTAATTTCTTTGTTGAAAGATATACAAGATAATTCTATCAATTGTTTAACACTGCCTTGAGGGAAATTATTTATGTTTTTTTTGATGAACCAAAGTTCCTTAACTTAATGTTTAGTTTTTTTTCTTATATCAAATTAAAAATTGTGTCATTTTCAAAGTTTTTAATATCAAAGTTATTTCATTTAATTTTTTACTTTTAATTGCTTATAAAATCCCTGCTAACTCACCTATAACTTTTACCACTGCCTGTCTGTCCATAAGCAAACAAACAAGTATTATAACCATCAAAAGCTTTACCAAGTAAAGGTTGAGCTAACTGGTTATAAACACTCTCTTGTCCAGAAAAACCCTCATCTTGTTCAGTGTCAGTGTCTGTAGAATGGGACCAGAAGGAGAAATCATACGCAAATCTATGTACAGTACCACTTTCACTAGTTACTGTTGTTTCATTACCATTCATAGCTACTACACATTTAACATTGGGATCAGCTAGTTCTCTGAAAAATATAATCATTCAAAGAAATGAAATGAAGACTGGCAATTCCATGCAATGTATAATAAGGGGAATTTTGCCATGAACATGGATTTAAACAATTTTTTCAAAATTAATGGATTTTTAAATCACACATCATGTACCGGTAACTCACAAATTCTTGCACAAATTTACTTTACAATAGGTGAATAAACAAAACAAAATCAATCTAAAATCAAAATTTTATAGGTAATATATGTGAAAATGTAAACTTTTTTAACTAAATAATAAAGTAGATCTGTTCCAATACAATTTCCAGCTGTAATTTACAAGCCTTAGAACATACATACTTTTACAATCATCACTGTAAGAAAAGTAACAAACCTCTGACTGAAGGGTCTAACTCTAACAGCAACAGTTACACTATCACAACTATCATCACCATCTTCTGTACTAGATGAATAATCTGTATCATAGTTATTCTCATGTTGTGTTTCTAAATCTACCATTCTATAACAATCAGGAGTCTCAAACAATTTACTTTCTAGAGTATGACGTCTGCTCTTGACAGGAGGAGTTTTAAATGGACTTTCTACTGGTTGAACGTCTAAATACACCTTACTTGACCCTTTAAAACTTTCACCTCTTTTCACTGAATCAGTTCCAACATCTGATAGTTTCTTATTCTCTTTTCCCACTGTTTTATCTGGTGTGTCACTTACGCGAGACCCACTTTTCCTATCTCTGCGACCTTTTGTGTTATTTTCAACAGAGAAGAGAGGTGGTTTATTTCTCATTCTACTAACAGATGAAGTGCCTCCTATAGAAGTTTCTACAATATCATCATTGAATGTCACACTTTTTGATGGTGTTGTTCTGCCATCATCTTTAGGTACATTTGGTAATACTCGCTTAGATGCTACTAATTTTCTTCTTGGTGAGGTTGCCATCATATACCATTTGAAGAAGCGACACTTCTGAAAGAATAATTTATAACAAATGTGTTTATTATTTAAAGTTTATGCTTCATAAGGTTTAAAAGCTAATTTTTATTCAAAACAATTCATGAGAAATCATCACAGAAGCTTAAACTGTCAAGTTCAGAATATCTGCCAAATTTTGAAATTGTGTTGATCAGCCATCACCAGGGAGTAGATCGAATCTCAAGTTTCCAAATGGTAATGGTAATTTGACATAATATATCTACTGGTATTTTGCACTTTTTAAATTTGAGGAAAATGAGATTGGGTGCCTGTGTTGTAGCCTTGTGGTGCCCCAGGCAGGCTTATCATCATGCCACAGAGAAATATACTTGCTTGTACTTGTAGTGTTGTGTACTGTAGACTGTAGTCGTGTAGATAGTTGTAATCGATTGTAGTTTGGACAGATCCAATTTTGATTTAAATTAATTTTAAAATCAGAAATAACACGAATAACCTAAGAGTATATATGTTATCCAAATAATAGATTCTTAAGATCTAGGCCTATATAAATTCAAACTTTGAAATGTTATTGTTTACTTTTTTAATTTTACCGCTTGTCCTCAATCAAACTTCCTGTATGGGAAATGTAAACTCGATTGGCTGAGAAGATTTCCGGCTACACACAAAAACCTGTGACACTAATTATTTGATTTCAATATCCCTGTCATTTCAAGATAATTCTTTTAATTTCATATCAGAGCATTTTAGAACTCAATTAAAAATTTGTTAAGTTTGTTAATTCATTTGTTTCAAAACTACTTTAAGTCTAATATCACATTCGACTGGCGCTTATCTGACATTTAGTTTTATGGTAAGCAAAGTGCTTGAGGAAAGTGGTCTTTCCTTCGTTGTGTTTCCGGTTTCTCTTGAATTAATGTTTTCTAAGATTATTTTGTTAAATTAAAGTTCGTATGGATCGTAAACTTTTTAATTTCAATGTTGGAGTTCTGGGTCATGTTGACAGTGGAAAGACTTCACTGTCAAAGGCTCTAAGTACTGTGGCAAGCACTGCCTGCTTTGACAAAAACCCTCAAAGTAAAGAAAGGGGAATAACTCTTGATTTGGGATTTTCATCCTTTACAGTAAATATACCCCCACATCTTAAAGATGACCTTGATAACTATGAAAATGTTCAGTATACATTAGTTGATTGTCCAGGCCATGCAAGCCTTATCCGTACGATAATTGGTGGTAAGTGGCTAAACCTGTCTGGGAGTTAGTAGATGCTTGTGCGATAACCTGAACTGAAGGCCAAGGCAAGGGACAGGGTTCCATTCCAGCAAACATAGAAAAGCCGTCTTGTCAATAAACTGAAGTCCTATGTACTACAGGCTGTGCACATTAAAGATCCTGTCTTTAAAGATGCTGTCTTGGCAAAATTTTTCTCATTTCACACTGCATGATGTTGCTCGTCTACTGGACCTTGATGTTGCATAATTTGGTATTAAGTTCTAGTTAATAAGTCCTGATAATGTTGATATTAGTTGGAAAGCAATCATGTATATGATTATAATGCTAGAGAATCATGATAATGATAGAAGTCCTAATATAACTGAAACTATGGTGATTGTCAGGGAACTATATTTTTTTTACAGGTGCTGGTATAATAGATATGATGATATTAGTAGTTGATGTTGTAAAAGGAATGCAGACACAGACTGCTGAATGTTTGATTATAGGTGAAATTCTGTGTGAGAAAATGATAGTAGTGTTAAATAAAACAGATATGTTATCACCTGATAAAAAAGATGCTACTATTGAAAAGGTTATTAGGTTATTTCTATGCTATGAGTATACAAGAATTTGAAGAGGACTTTGTCTGTAGAATTGTTTTAAGAAGACTTGTTATTTTATAAGTAAAAATTGAAATTCAACCTTAATGGTTAATTTTCTTTCACTTGTTTGATTTTTGTATAATTTAGGACCAGAATGATGCTAGCGCTCAGTTGAAGACTACTTTTTCAGAATAGAATGAAATAAGCTTACTCTTTACTGTTTTAACATATTAATTTGTTTCCTTAAGATTACAAATTATTGATTATTTTGTAGATGAAGAAGAGAATGTTGAAGACTTTAGAAGGAACAAGATTTGCTGGTTGTTCTATTGTTTGTACTGCAGCTAAACCTGGAGGTCCTGAGGTAGAATATCAAGATCTTCTATTTTCATTATACTTTTGATTTAGAAGCTCCTTTTTTCTATCTCCTTAAGTTTCGTGCTTAACTGCACTCTCAGTCATAAGTGAACCTAAAAATATTGTTTGTATTTCATTCATGCTTAAATGGGATTTGTGTTAGTGACATCATAATCTATTCTAGTTTATAAAAAATGACAAGAACCACAGATATCTGATGACAATGGGAATAATGCAAATAGAAGTAAATTAGTAATATCTGTCTTAATAAACTATTAAATTAATAATGTACAATGATAACTGAATGTTTATATTTAGTCAGGCGATGCTAGTTCAATTGGTATAGAAGAATTGATATCAACTCTACAAACTAATACATACAAACCTAAACGAACTGAAACAGGACAGTTTATATTCTCTGTAGATCATTGTTTCTCTATTAGGGGACAAGGTACTGTTATGACTGGTACATGTTTAAATGGTTCAGCTTCTGTTAATGATGTTAGTTTTACTTTTCAATTTTTTTAATTTTCTGAAATATTTCCAAACTACCAGATAAAAGCTTATTCAATATTAATGGGCCATTAACACTGCACATCTAATCCAAATCTGAATCTACAATCTACAATCTAAACCTAAACTTGATCTAATTCTATTATTTTTCCACAGTGAAATTGCAAATTCAGCTATATCCAGATGCATATCATGTTTTCTGTGATCAAAAATCTTCTTATTCTACTTTTCAAATAGATCTGATCATGGGTGATCTAACAAGATATAAAAAGTTCCTTGCAATTTTATTTTCTTTTCTTAGAATATTGAAATACCATCATTATCAGTACAAAAGAAGATCAAATCCATGCAAATGTTTAAGAAACCAGTTCAAAAGATTGTACAGGTAATTCTATATGATCCTTTATCTAGTTGATAATTTGATCTTGCAGGAATTCAGATGTCATTTCAGCCCAATTATCAGTGATGCAGGTTGGAACAATAATGGCTGTATGCAACAGACTGTGAACATTAAAGATCCTTAGATCTAGAGTTGATAATTTGAAGAAGCTAATGCCACTGTGCATCGATGCTCAATGTCTCTGTTCTTGTAGGATATCAGTAACTACATTTCATTCTTGTTACTGCATGCATTCAGTTGTAGGCTTAGAGCCTAGGATAATAATTTACCTGTAAATTTATTTAAGAAGATTCTTGATTGATACTTGTTATTGCTTATGTTTTTAAACAATGTAACATCTTAACATTCCAACTTAACAAATTTAGTCCTCAAAATTTCTGATGATATTTTCAGGGTGATAGAGCAGGAATATGTGTCACACAGTTTGATGCTAAACTATTAGAAAGAGGATTAATTTGTACTCCAGGGGCCTTACCAACAGTTCATGCAGCAATTATATCACTCAACAAAATATCATATTATAAAGGACCTATTGCAACTAAATCTAAATTTCATATAACTCTTGGACATGAAACAGTCATGGGAAAAATTACTGTTTTTGGGGCCTTAACTAGTGACGACAAACAAGCATCTAGTTCAGCTGATAATTTTGATTTTTCTATAGAATATTCTTACCAAGATTGCTTCCTTACAAAAGATATGTGTGATAATCAAGTAGATGTTAGTTTACCATCAATGCAGTATGCTCTGATAGAACTGGAAAAACCTGTCACATGTGCCACATTGTCTCTAGTGATTGGTTCAAAATTAGACACAGACATCCATTCCAAAAATTGCCGCTTGGCTTTTCATGGAAGATTATTGGAAATTTTTACCAAACCATCTTATGTTCAGGAATCTTTACCCAAACTCAAAATATTCAAAATAAAAAAGCGTGAAGGTGGTATTGATAGAGTAGTAGATGAATATTCTGTCATTGGTAAAAATTTGTTTAAAAAGACAACCAATATGGAGTTATTTAACAATTTAAAAATTGAACTATCAACTGGAGAGAAAGGTGTTATTGAAGGTAGTTTTGGTACTAGTGGTAAAGTCAAGATAAGAATTCCAGGTTAATATATTTTCAAGATTTCTTCTCACTTACCAATTTTTTTCTGATTTCCATCTTGGTTGTCAGACAAAAGCTTTTCTCTATTGAATTTGTGTCCCCCTAAAATCCCAAGGTTGATTAATAGGCTCAATTCATTTAATTCCAAACACACTTTTTTATTCTTGGACAGCAGGCGACCTTTAGATATTCATTCTATAATAAGTGAAGACGTGGCATATCCAGACATAAGAAGGATAAACTGCAGTAAACAAATTTCTAAGTTTAATCATTTCTTACAGCTGGTATATCAGAAGATGTAATGAACAGGTTTTCTGGACCTAAGAAGAAGAGAAAAGGTAAAGTTGGAGATGAAGGGGTAGAAGAAGAGAAAGATAAGACAGATAGAGAACCTATCAAAATATATCTTATATTTAAAAGATTTATATTTGATCCTGAGAAAAAGATGTTACAAACATAACTCTTCTGTTACATTTATAACTCTCTGATTATTATTTACATGATTTTACATAGTGATTCTATACCTAATTGAAAAGAACTAAATAATTATTACTTTTTCTTATGACAAAATTACAAAACCTAAGGACTATGGCAGATACTTTTGGTTTTACATGCATTCAAATAAGGTTTTCTAATCTACAAAAGAATATTTTGCGAATTTCAGCTTCTATTTGCTGGTTAAAAATGCTCCTTTCCAAGCCTGGAGAAATAGATATTTTGGTTGGATTTTATTTCAGGTATCAATTTGATTTTTTAATGTTAGAGGCTAATCCAATATTTTATACAACTTCTATTCTTGACATTTACCTCCCAATGAAATTGTTGGTTATTTGTTGATAAATTAAATGATTTAAAGTAATCCAAGGACAGAATAGTGTTTATTCATTTCATAAAAGAGAGCATTATCATTCAGGGTTAGTGAGTGCATACATCTTGGTGAGATAGAGCAGATACAACTTACACACATAGCTTTATGATATAGAGGGATCTTTAGTGTGAACAACATATGGCCATGGGGCCTCTATTAATTTTCCCAATCAAATGACTAAACGCTTTTGCCATGTGTCCGACATCAGGGAAATTGGGTTGAAAATTGAACCCTGACTGCTCAAATAAATGATCAAGCATTTATATCACTGAGCCACAGTAGACAGAAGACAAACATTGCCTAACGTAATAATATTAGGTAGAATTAGAATTATGTATCTTAATTCTTTACCGTATCTTTGTAGACTGACTGTGGAAGTGGCTAATTTATTTATGGAACAATAACAAAGTTCTATACATTTTATTGATAATAAATATTTTGATAGTACATGATATATATACACTATGTATTTTTAAAATGGAAATAAAACAATAAATAATATGACACATAAAATAACTGACAAAAACTTAGAGAAATAATTCTACAATATAAGAGACAGTGGAGAAATGTGTTCATACAGAAGATGATATTTTAGCAGATTTGGATATTTCAGGGATAAATATTAGGATATTGAACCATGCTTAAAGTAGCCACCACATCAATCTAATTAAAATTACATTACAATTTTGTATAACCACCAATCAAAGTGGACCATGTAAAATACGGAACTGTGGGATAGCAAAACTCAAAGAGGCTGTCATATTGCTTTACTTTTGCTATCCAACAATTAATTCTATTATCAAGAAACAGGTTTTCACATGATGCGCTATGATTGCTACATTTGGGACAGACCTTTGGTAGAAAACTTCTTAGATTACAAATTGTAGTCTAATTTTAATTAGATTGCCACCACATATACCCTATAGTCATACACAAGTTGGTAATAAAGAACATTATTCAAGATATGTACAGTAATATCAGTGCAATTATTATAAAAATAGATGTTTTATAAATGTATGTAATGACAGTGCGATACTAATCTTAATAATATATATGATATTAATATTACATGATAGAATTAACTAATTAGCATCTATATTGGATTCTAATTTGATTATATATTGGGTGATCTAAACTCATAGTAATTCAACCCCAAAAAACTAAATAAATACACAGACTAATATAATTCAATGTATAACATAATAATGAATATGATATCGTACAAAATTGACCAGATATATATATTTTGAGCATTTGTTACATACATTTTTCTTCTCTCAATAAAATCATGATCCAGATGTTTCATTCCTATTTTATTTATACTTACTTCATTTGCCACCCATGATCCGACATGATTGTTCTTTAAATCATGATCTGTGGAATATATCCCAGAATTTCTCACATATAGTAAAGAAATCTTATATTGAATTGAGACACACAACTACATTGTCAGATCATGGTAGGCAAGTATTGACACCAATAGAAAACAAAACTAAACATCCAGATTAGCATTTTGATTAGATTGTATCATCACAAAACAAGGTATGTTGAAGAACCTACAATCAACTAGAGAAGAAAAATTTGACTCATGATAAGACAGAAATTCAAATGGAATAAACTAAAAAAAAGTAAGAACATTTCAGTCCTAAATATTCCATAAAATAAGCAAAGTTATTGCTTTAAGATCGTGATAATTTATACTAAAATATTTTAATAGAAAGATCTGAGGAAAAAATACCTTTTGGGGTAGACAAATTTCTAAATTCATTTTTCTTCTCTCATCGAGGAAAATAAATTGCTAAATTCCCTTTTGGAATCTTCCCTACGGCCTTTGATGAAAGAAATTATATTTACATGATATGTCAAATACTTAATTACTTTATAAAAGATTTCTAATAACAATAAAGATGTCAGGACAAATTATGAAGCCCTATGAATATCTGGTAGTATAGTTTTACAAACTACACATAAGTATGGAATCAAATAACTATGAACTGCAATCCAAAATAAATCTAAGGAACTTCTAATCATATGACTTCTACTTTATTTTCATGTTATTGTTAAGCTAAATATTGTACTACTATTTATTCTGAATGAGTATTCATCCTACAGATTTTAATCATGCATGAATCAATAAGATTTTGTGTCTACTTTGTTAGTTTGTAAAACTATCTCACCAAATCAGATTGGGAAATAATTGATTTAGAATATAGATTATACTCTTAGAATATTATAATACTTCATATTATAGTTACCAGGACAACAAATTCAATTACTTAATATACATATAATCAAGTTAGGTTGTAAGTTATAATGGTATTCACCAAATAAAATTGCACAAATAAACTTTGGCCTAATTTAGAACACTTCAGTTTGCCTACTCAATAAATCATCTTATAATAAAAGAATTTTTATTCTAAATTACAAACTATTTATATTAAAGGAATACTACCTCTAAGAATGGAAATAAAATTTAAATTCTCAAACATGTAATGAAACCAAGTAATTATTTAGAAACGCTTCTAAGTGTGTTTCAAAATGACTTAGTTTAATGGATTATTACTTAGGCTTATAGATTTATTAAATTATAGAGCAATTCTGTTGCATAGTTTTGACACCATTTAAATAAACAAACAAAGGCTCATTTTGGCCAAGTTTAAAAATTTCAATTGTTTTGTCATCCAAAGAGGTAGTATACCATTAAGGAGATAAACAAAAGGTTTTTCTTTGTATGAGTCTTATGGACATTTAAATAGCTTTCTAATTGCATTAATCTGATTTTCTGTCAGATGCTTTTAATTCAGAATTCACTATCACAAAAAATATTCAAGATATTAGCAATTTTGGGTTTAAAATGTTTTTCTGGTACTAACTCAGATGAGATTTCTGAATGATGGAATTAGAAGTTCAATAAATGTCACTAATAGACATACAGGATAGAAAACCTCTTTTGAATCCCTTTCATATAAGTTTGTCCAAACAGAGAATGTAAATATTAATGTCGTTGAAGGAATAAAAACCTAAGATATATACATGAATATATAACAAATGGAATTCTATATGTAATGATGAAAATTTGTTCCCAAAACATGGTCCTTGATATCTAGAGTTTAAGTTGAAAATATAGAACAAAAAATTTAAAACATTTAGACCATACATTTATAAAGTGCTATAAGGTGGAGACGAGCCTATTTTTTAATCAATCACAAGGGAATCTTTACAACCGATTATGAAGCACATCCACAATTTTTCTGTTTATCATCATGTGATCAGTATTAAATTGAGAAATTCTGAAAAAAGCTTGTCACATGATATCAACGTAATGTCTGATTGGTTTGAATACAGATCGTTTGCTCGACAAAATAGGACAGACACGGACAGACAAGCAAATTTGCCAGTGAATGGATCAACTGGTGTAAATCAAAAGCTGAAAATATCTAACATATTTTATGTGAGAAATTAGTAAGGGTGTATAAAATTTTTGTAGATGTGAAATGCCACATGTGCCTTTTTTTAAGCAATTTTAAAATTCGCTACAATGGGGTGAAAAATTACATTCATGTGCCCCTTGCTTTAGATTGTTTATATTTAGAAATAATTATAACTAACTATTGCTGTGTATCAATTAAAATATACATCATTTATCAAAACATTCTACCATTAAAATCACACAAAATATCACACTCACTTCACAATACCAACATTTCATCTTCACTCAATTTTCAATTCAACATTCACATTTATTAAAACTAACAGCAAGATATTGAATCTTGTTAAAATTCTAGTTGAAAACTTATAGATAACTTTCTTATTGTTATAAATATCAACTTGTTCAAATTGAACTTTTGATTTTAAAAGGAGAATCAAATTTTTTAAAGTAATATGCTGAAGATGCAATCTTTATTTTTCTTACACAATATTTTAGATTTATTTTGTTTTAAATGATAGATTATCTAATTGTGAAAAGCTTAAGAGGACTACATATTCAATAAAAAAAGAAGTTGGAATTGAAACAAGTCACCATGAGTGTGTGAAGCTTTGTAGAAATTTATAACTCTTTTTGAAACTCTTCACTTTTAAAGATACAAATTGTCCCTCAACCTGTCAATCACTCAGCACAATCATCCAGTAATTAAAATAACTTGTTTTTGATCCTCTCAAATAAAAGTTGAACATATTCATAAGACAAAGAATAAAATCAATATTATGACTAAAATAACAATTAAAACTATTATTGCTGTCCACTGTCGTTTGTCTGAAAATAAAACACATAAATAATTTTAAGGTTTTTTTACCGCCTCTTAATTTTTTTATTTCAAATTTACTAATAAATATAAATATGCATCATTTTTCTGAGCTATGTTATTGATAATTCTATTGAACAAAGTGCGTAGGATCACTTTCCTTTTAAATAACACTATCAACAGCCTTCATTATCTGACGTAACTATGGAAATAGTGTCATCAGATGACAAGCATTATACTTGACAAAGCCACAACGCTTACACCTTTCACATGCACAAATGTTTCCAATTTACACAATCAATATACTGGCAATAATAAATGACAAACTTACCATTGGACATGTGTAAAACTTTGGCCATTTTTTTCATGGTGCCATCTAATCGTGAGTCAGTTGATTCTATTTCATGACGGAATTCATCTAACATCCTACAAAATATTTACAAATAAACACACATAAATAAAAAAAAATATCAACTTCCATATTGGAGATTTACTTGTTACATGTATCACTTTTCCAGTTCGCAGTAAGAAATACAGTTCTATTAGAGGTAATCATCATCTGACAAGGTTTGACCACATATATCACTTTTAAGAATAGTTAATCTTACTTCTTATTTGTAAAAATACTTACACATTTTGTTCATCTAATTCTCCACTAATTTGATGAGACATATTTTTTAATACACCAACACTACCACCAATTAACTCTAGAGTATCATCTTGTGATCTCATTATTAACTACATAACAAATAAATTCTTTATTATTAGCTTACAATATTTAAACCAATACATAAGTCTTAGTCCATTAACAAAAATTGAAATCTAAATGCCACTGTCTGAATATTCAAGGCTTGTTTTCAAAAGGATCTCTCTTTTAGGAGCAATATAAGTGTTGAAATTCCTTGCAACTTACTGACATATATTTGCAAATCTAAGGGCTAAAGGGTAAATGATACTTTTTTGAAACTATTTGGGCTAACAAACCATGCAGTGTGTAATGAAGGAAATTTTGCCAGGACAATGGCATAAATACACTCTTTTTCAATTTTCAACTGTCCAGGGATCTTTAACATGCTTCAGTTTGTTGTTCAATTCGAAGAACTGGACAATTTTTTATTTTTCTGTATCAGCCAATCCAATGTCTAAAGGTTTATAAAAAGAAACTTACAGCTTGTTGTTGTTGAGCATCATCAATATATCTTTGATTTGAAGTTTCCATCTCTTCATCTAACCTGGTGTATCTATCTTGAGGTCTACTAGGTCCATTAGATAATAATGATTGACGTACATTATCTTCACCTATACCATTACGATAATTACTAGATTTGGGACTAGATAGAGCTCCTTTCATTTCCTAAAATTCAAACAAAATTAGAGATTAGTTTAGTAGATGAAGCTTCATTCATATGTGTGTGCCTTTTTATGTGTATTGGGGACACCTTTGACTTCAATTTGGGACATTGCAATATTTCGTCCGATGTCTGTGTTTCCAGCAATTCCTGAAAGAGTTAACCAGACACATAAAAAGGCTAGAAAAACCTATTTACAATCCCTTTTAGCACTTATACTTATGTGGATGGGGCTTAAGAATACTATATTTAACTCTTGCATGTTTACAACATGACGTCACTAATTCAACAACTATCAAGCCAAATGTTATTGGGTTTAAATGGTGCCTCAATCTAATATCATTTTGTCTGGAATTACAAAAAGAGAAGTGACTGCAATACACATACTTTGTAAGCTAGAAAACCTCTTGTGATTCCCTTTAGTTCAAACAAACACTTATTTATTAAAGATTTATTTCAAAACTTCTAATTTTCATATATTCTTGTTAATGCCTTCCTTAACCAAAACATTTGCATCTATTACAGCCTCTGATATTTTTAAAACTGTTGGATGGTGTAGAGACGGAAAAACTAGTCCCTTTTTTGAAGGGATTTTCCACACCTCCAAAAGTGCAGTGGTTTTAACCTGTAGATATTTTGATCTATTTGATGAATATTTCTTTAGTTCAGTCATGCCACCATTTTCTCCCTACAACATTTAAGTCATGTCTGCCATTCCATCAAAGTTTATTTTTATAACAATATTGATCTCGCTGGCCATTTAAAACTGCCTGTTCGGTCACAGGTTCAAAGGTCACAGTGTCACATGACACTAATAAAACAAAAGCTATGGTGATGCACAGAACTCATTTACAATGAAAGTAATTCAATGTTAGAAAAACACGTCTTCAGAGGTGTGGAAAATCCCCATGAAACATGTCCTAGTTTTTCTGACCCTACAGCTGATAACTGTCAATATATCTATCAGATGCTGGAATAAAAAGCAGATGTTTATTTTCTGACCCTACAGCTGATAACTGTCAATATTTCTATCAGATGCTGGAATAAAAAGCAGATGTTTCGGACTAATACCTTCCCAACCTACAAGTCTTCTGACACTTTTTTAAAATGTTGCTCTCAGAACATTAAGTTATAAAACATAATCAGACGAAAGATTATAACTGTAGAAAAATGGTGAAAAGAAGAAAATGAATTTAAAATGTAATTAATGTCTATTACCTTTACAGAAGCTTTCGTTCTTTCAATAAAATTTCTTCTCTCTCTAATTTCATTTTCTGTAATTTTGAATTTACGTGGATTTTTCTCCACAATACGTAATAAAAGGTTAAGGAAACTGTCTTGAGAAATGTTTTAATAAATAAATCATTTTTACATTAACACATTCAGAATGCATTTGTAGCTCATGATTTATTCAGGATTCCATGTTGGTTGATTATTACTTTTACATTAACAACTTACATTAGTGATACGTACAACTGACAGTTTGAGAAAATTCATGATGCTTAAATACAGATTTCAAATATGGAATCTACAACAGAATGTTTGGAAATGGAGAATAATTTTCAAAAGAATGAAAGATATTATATTTCAGGGAAGGGAGGTTTTGATTCCAAATGTACAGGTCTAGGATGGAACAAATAAAACACCAAGTAATTGACTTGTATCTACTTGATCTCTTGCTTCTATACATTTTGTAATAAAAATTTGACAGCTATTTTGAGAAGGAAGTAAACTTTTTAAACATCAAGACTTACAAACTTTTATTTGGTCCTAAATAGATGAAGTTTTATTGATGACTTTTTACACAAAACATTGGTATCTTTCCTAAAAATCTGGTAGACAAAAACACTTAAAAACATTATAGATAGACAATATAAACACATAATAGAATACATTCACTTTTGACATTCAACCATAGCTAGAGTGATACAACTATTAAATTTATACCATTCTGTTCCAAAAGATCGTGAAGAAAAACTGAAAAAAATATATTTGACACCCCTTCAATTTTTAGTGAACTCTTCCACACATGCATACTCTCAATCAATATGATACAGATCATGTTTATGACTGGAAGAGCTCATTCGTAAATTGTTATTTTTTGTTACATGCCAACTTATATGAACTTTGGCTAAAAAGTAGTGATATTGACAGAAAATATGACAAAGGATATCAACTGTTTCTTCAAGATCTTCTAAATCCCATTCTATACTACGTAAACAGTTCCTCAATTCATTACTTGTCCAATCTGTTTCTTCTTTAGAAACTAGATTAGGTTGATCCTGCAATTCATTCCATCTTGTATATAAACCATGAGCTGTATGTAGAGCTTTTTGTACCTCTCTAAAAAAAAATATAGTCAACATATAGAGAAATAGAAATATTTAAATAGAATAAAACTAAAAACAAAAAAAAACATACAATCCTCAGGCTGAAGAAGATCAGTTGTCTGAAGATCACATAGCATGAACCCATGAGTAACAAATTTTTTTTTTAGGTTCTGTTTTAATAATACTATATAGGTCTACAATTGATGAATATTTTACTATTGTAACTTAACAAAGAAATATTAAAACAAAAGTTGAATCATGTTGTTTCACGTTGTTTCACGTTGTTTCAGACAACAGACCTATTTTCAGCATATATATGTCACTAGTTGAGAAAAATCTGTAATATTTCTACAAAATTATAAATCTCAAGTGATACTCATAAGACCTAAGTCAAACTTTTTTCTTGTAGAGTGAGAGTGAGTGAGGCCTAGGTCACAAAACAGAGATAACTTTTGTTTGGTAAAATAGGTTTATCAAAACAGTCCTGTGTAAAAAATATCTTAATGTTCACATTATCAGTACCAGTACCAGTACTAGAAGTTATGTTGTATTGCAGATGTGCAAGATATCAGATTTTCATTTTGATAAGTGTTACATACAACTTAAGTTTGGTTTTATCTAACAGGAAAGTTAATTCATACCAAAGTCGTAATAAAGTGTTAATGGTGAAAAGTTGAAAATTAGACTTCTTTCAAAAAGGTTTCTCTGCAGGTCCACCAAGTGAAGTTCATAAAATTAAACAAAGATTACTTTGTCTACTGACGTCTTTTTTCAATTATGGAAAAAACAAAGTTGACTGACAGCATGATAGAAATTAGAACCAATTTTATGCAGCTGACACATGTTTTATATTTTATCAGTTTTAATGATTCAGATTTTATTCTATCATTCCTTTGAAAAAGCCAATTATAACATTTTTCAAATACTTCATACATGTATGTTAAAACATAGTGACAGTTATATACTATTATAGGTAATATTGAAATATTTGGTACAAAGACTGACCAATGAAGATTAAAATCTTTGAAATTTATTTCTTTAAATGTTCAAGCTGAAAAACTGATTATAATATAGTTTAAACAGGTTCATAGAGTTCATATAATACCCTCTGTAACAATACATGTTACCTTATTAGATTATGTGAGATTATCAGATTTAATGATCATTAATTACCTAATTAGATTACCTTAACAGATGTTGTAAGAACAGGTTATTTTACTCAAATGGATAAAGTTGAATAAAGTGGTAAATACTTGCAGTGGTGAATCTAAACAAATCTTTAAATTATCTCAGCTTATAGGTGAACCTATTGAGAGTCAGAAAAAAACATACCCGTACTGGCCTGTGCTTTCGTAATTTCAATTATATGTTGTTGTTACAACCACTCTTACCTAAACCCAAAGTTATATTACTTGAAGCATGATATATGACAATAACATTAACATCACTTGGTAGTGGTCATGTCATTGGTTTCATTGGATAACGTATATATCACATAATTATGCAACTACCATTCTTAAAAAGTTCTCTCTTAACAATCCTGCAGACAACTGAATTTAAGTGGGTAACATTCCGTTCCAATTTAGATTATTACTTGTCAAGTCAAAAATGAATTTGTCTGTTTTAGTATATATACGTCAATTATACCATTTTATTTTTCTATACATGTATTTTCTGTTTCAGGTAATGGATTATGGTCCAACAAGTCATTTGTTCGTATATACTTTTAACTACTGTACTCCCTTTTTTATTTTTTTATATAGGCCCAGTGGGTAAAAGAACATTTATACGAAGCAGCTCTTTCTTGATTATAACACAGGACGAGTTAGCACCACTAAAAAATAATTTACATCATTGTTAAAGCTCAACCCAATCCTGGTAAATGTTAAATATAGATTTTATATTCATCATCTTTAAACTTTTATAGAAACGACTTCTCCAGTCAATTTTATCTACCAATATGTCTATAGACTAAACAATCACTTGTACTATCATCTTGAATTTAGGATGAAATTTATACTGTAATTACTGTATGTGGTGGTGTTAATCTAAACAAAATCTTTGGCAAATTAACAAGTTACGGTTCAATTTAGTTCTTCTAATATTAGAAAACTACAAATGAAGAATGCCAAATACCAACATAACAAAAACTTGCCATGATCAAATTTGGCTGAAGCTTATTTAATCTATAAATCAAACAAAGACCAAAAAGAGCATCAATGTGGATTTGTGTCCCTATGTTGTTTTAAATAACTATTAATTAGCTTTGATCTCTAATGATGCAAACGATTTTGATTGAATTATCTTTTGTCTGGATTCTCATAACTCAACACAGAAATAAAATTGATTGATTGGACAAAGCAGACGAAATCTTTATCGTGAGAGTGAAAAAACAAGGTACTTACTCTCTAACAACGAAAAATGGATCTTCTAGAGACATTTCGGCACGAATTGTATTGGAAATTTTCTACAGTTCTACTAAATTCACAAACTGAGATAAACAAGGAGAAAAATTCTCACTTGCTCCTCATCATGGCGACTGACAGATCATAATGACGTCATAGGGGTTTTCCAAGGGATTTCCGTACAGATAGTCGTCTTTATCCAGCATTTTCTTCACAATGGAAATTAGTTGAGGAAATTGAGTTAGGGCTTCGTCCCTAATTTTTTGGCCAATTTTTTCCATCGGCCACAAAAATTGGCCGGCCACTGAAGTAATGACGAAGTGTCAATTGACGAAATTTCACTAGTAAACTAAAGGGAAATAACTCCAACGATGTTTACAGTTGCGAAACCAAAACAAACATTTTAAACTTTTTTACATCATTTATTTGTTTCGTTCTCTTGTGTAATCCAATTTCTAGCTGGAAATTATAAAGTTTTA